AGCGAGAGAGATGGTGGCTATTTGTCACGTTTGAGTGTATTAGACAATCTACAGCTGAATGATGGGCTGTGGTGCAAGAGACCACAGTGTGTACATAACAGATTGATTTAATGGAGCGAATCTTGGGTTTCGCCCTTTGTAAAATACACTGAAAGATGTTGTCTGAACAAAAAAAAAAAAAAATCGAGCAATTGAATATATAATTCCTTTGTTTTTGATTATTCTCCAAATTTAGTAAATAGAGTTTGGCAAATATGTCAATTTCTACAATCAGATGCTAAATGTTTAACCCTTAAATGCATACCTCAGGTATTTAGTGACCTGTGCCCTACTCCTCATTCATTTTTAAAGCTATCAATCTTCTTAGTATTCCTCAATCAAATCATTATAGACAATATAACAAGAAAAAAAAATTAAAAAAAAAAAAAAGTCTGTTCTCCCATTCAGTTTTGTAAAACTCGTATAGGGTCTCTAATGACCCGAGGTGTATAAGTGTTAATATATTTTATTTATATTTTTTCATTTTTGCTAAATAATTATAATTTAATCTTTGATGACTGAATTAGCGCAGTCAAATGTCCCTGTCAATTGATGGTGGATCTGGTGAAGAAGCTGTCAGTGATTAAAATATTGATTTTTAAGATGTTGAATATATAGTATTGAGAATGTGTTTGAGATGCTGAATATGAGCCAGATGCTGAATGTACTGGGAAATGAGTTCTGATGAGGACAGTGATGATGATATAAAACATCTGCTCAAACTGGACCCTTACAAGCTCAAAAAGTGAACAAAATATGCTTTATTTTATTCTTCTGTAATTTTTACTCTAATATCAGGAGAGATTTATATTATCCCGACAGGTGGAGATTCATCCATGTTAGCTATAGATCTGGGTCGCTAAGAATGTGTAATAATGATTGGGGAAATATTAATGGATTTAGGGGTTCAATCAGATTTTCAAATGATTTTGCTGATGCACACACTGTTAGACCTTACCAGGTTTTTTACAGAAAAATACTGGCAACACTGTTGCCAGTAATTTACTGTAAAAATGCACTTAAAACTCAAGTTAACTAAAAAATACAACTTATTAGTTTTAGTGCATTTTTACAACACTGTTGCCAGTAATTTACTGTAAAACTGCACTAAAACTCAAGTTAACTAAAAAACACAACTTATTAGTTTTAGTGCATTTTTACAGTAAATTACTGGCAACAGTGTTGCCAGTATTTTACTGTAAAAAACCTGGTAAGGTCTAACAGTGCATATATAATATTTCTCAATTTAAGATGAGGAAAATCAATTCAAAAATAAAGAGTGTGCATGCTCCCACACACAATTCACACTTTTGTTCCAGACATTCAGCTAGTTTGTAAAAACACGGATGCACCCTCATCTCACAATGTGTAAGCACAGCATTCCTTGGCAAAATATTACAATAACCAACGGCACTTTCAATCATCAAAGCGCCAGAGGCTTATCTCCTGTTAGACAAACACGCCATATCTCAAATCTTCTGATCTCAACATATGAAAATCATAAAGGGTAGCTATGTGTTGATAAGTGCTCTACTTGTTACAATTGGGATAGTTCTCCAAAAATGCACATTCTGTTTTTGTTTACTCACCCTCAAGTTGTTCCAAATCTCTATGAGTTTCTATCTTCTGTTGAACACAAAAGAAGATATTTTGAAGAATGTTGGTAACCAGACAGTTGACATTGACTTCCATAGTATGTTTTTCCTAAGTCAATGGCTGCAGTCAACTACAGTATCTGGTTACCAACATTCTTCAAAATGTCTTCTTTTGTGTTCAACAGAAGATAGAAACTGATTTTGTAACAACTTGAAGGTGAATAAATGATGACAAAACGTTTAATTTTGGGGTGAACTATCCCTTTAAGGGGACACTTTTGATATGGAGAAACATTTAATCTGTTTTAAATAGGAAATGTTGTTAAAAGAATAAATTACAAATGAGAATAAAGAGATATAACAATACTTCTTCCCAATATGATTTTTGAAGGATCATGAGACACTAAAGACTGGAGTAATGGCTGCTGTAAATTCAGCTTTGCAACCATGGGAATATATGACATTAGAAAGTTATTTTAATCTGTTATAATATTTCAAAATAGATCAAATAAAGCTTATATCTTTTATGCTCACCATAAGAGGTGAGCATAAGAGATATAAGCTTCTTTCAAAAACATTTTCAAAACATAATCATTCCAAACTTTTGACTAGTAATGTATAATATAACTTATTTATGATTATAATTAGAATATGTATTTAATCAAATAATTAGAATTATTTTACTGCTTATCAAATGGCATACCACCAATTTGTTGGAGTGTTCAGAGGTCATGCTTCAACATGAGCTACGTGCATTGAAACTCTTTTCATAGCTCATGTCAAGTGAATTGACATATTTGATTGTATAATGCATAGCTCATGTTTAAGCACAGTATATGACCTCTAAGCACACTGACAAATCCCTGGGCAAGTATGTCATTTGATAAGCTGTGATTTTCTCCAATTTAGGACTGTATGAACACAAGGACTGTGTTTGAATAGCACACGGTACCTTTACATCTAAACATTGTGTGATTATTTGGCACATATGGCCTGGCATTTACCTGCAGGCACATGCAGGGAGATTAAGAGTGACTCATGCACTCATCATATGGCCGATGAATACAAGTGTTCTATCACATAAAACCTGAGAGCCTGATTAGTGCACTCTTTCATGATTCACAGATGTAAACACATACTGACATAGAAAATTATATAGCCTCATATTGCTCACAAAATGATTGTAGGATGCACTTTTGTACAGGAATTTCTCCCATAAAACTATTCAGCTTTAAAAAGTGTGCTTTGCTGCAATGCTGGCTACACTCTAAAAAATGCTGGGTTGTTTTAACCCAATTTTGGGTCAAATATGGACAAACCCGAAATGTTGGGTTAAAAATGTAATGTAAAAATTTAACCCAACGGCTGGGTTAGTCCATATTTGACCCAAAGTTGGGTTAAAACAACCCAGCATTTTTTAGAGTGTATATATCAAGAAATGGTCCACTTAATTTTGATAGTCCAGTTTAAACATTCTACAAACTAACTATAACTTTAACTATGTCAACTACCAGTCATTAGATTATTAGACTGTCTGCTTAATATCTGTTAACACTTCATTTTGATGATCCACTTTAGATATTCTACTAACTATAAAAAACTTTGCAAGTGCATGTCAACTTAATTTACTAATCCGAAACAAAACTCACATTCTACTAAAACTGTAAAAAGAGTTAGTTGGTATTTAGTAGCAACGTTGATTATAGTTGGTAGTAGAACGTCTGAAGTGGACCATCATGACTCTGAAGTACAAATACAAGTTCACCATCTTGTGGCCACAGACAGTAACAACAACAAAAGAAGGCATGTAGCAACAATGTAATAACAAAGTATTAAAAAAATAGTAGTTATTGATTAGTTAATAGTAAAGTACCACTTTCATCTGTGCGCTATTACTTACTAGTTCGTTAATCAGAGTTTCTTGTTAATAATAGTTACTATTGTTAATATTGTGTTATTTGTTGGTTCTAGTGTAGCTCATTAACGAAGGAACCACATTCTAAAGTGTTACCAAACTTTTTTTTTAAATGTCAAAAAAGCATTAATAAATTCTGCTATTGCCATGTACTGCAGGTTTTTCATTTGCATCCAAAATTACAGGAACAAGATCAAACATACGTTTTGTTACGTCACCTGTCACAGAATAGTCAAAACTGAGACGAGGATTCAAATGCACAGTGAATTTAATAGTGACGGGTAGAAAAGGTAGTACAAACTACAAGCAAGCGGGAAGGAAACACAAGGAACAGGCAACTCGGACAAACAAACCAGCACAGGACAATAAACACAGGGAAGCTAAAAACATGGGGACAAACAAAGGAGAGTAACAAGAAGGACAGGTGGGACAAATTTAATAATCAATCAGATAATAAGATGAGTGGGCTAGCTAGACAATAGAAAGGAGAGCACATGGCACAAATGAAACACATGACAAACCATGTGCTCACAATAAACAGAACTAGAACACAAAAAACAGACAATGTGACAACATAAATACATGAGATAATTAACAGAAATGAGAACGAATTAAACTATATGGGAACAAACTATAGGGCACAGGGAAATATTCAACTCAAATCAAATTAAAAACACAATGAATCTAAATGGAACCATAGGCCTAATCATGACAGCTAATTCTGTATGCTTTACATTTTTCTAGATAACTAAAATAACGTAGGCCTACCTAATTTTCTCGCACTGTCGCACAGGAACATGCGCTTCCATTCATCACAACTGATGCGTTGAATGTTTATATGTGAATGAAAGCATAATTCAGTCATCATGATAGTGTTAGAATATTTGGACTAAACCGCTCAATTCTTATAATTAGTTGTATGTATATGTTCATGAACTCTTTAATTTAAAGTGTCAATTGGTTGTGTATGTTGTGCAGTTGTCAATGAAGGGACAGAAATATTTCAGATTTCATTCTTCAATTGTGTTACAAACATGAACGAAAGTCTCACGGGTTTGAATGACATAATGACAGCAATTTCATTTATGGGTAAACTATATCCCTTTAAAATTATGCATTGTGCAGGCCAAACTCAAAATAATTTACTTAAAAATGATAAACTCGCCAGAACTTGTTGAAAGCAGGTGATAAGGTGCTTTTCAGGATAAATATTAAGCCTACTTTAAGTTACCATAATGTTTTCATAAATAGGTCTATCTGTTCGGTGTTTACAAAAATGTTTGCATGGCAATTTTTATACGCCAAAAGCTGTGAGTACTAAAAATGAATTGTGTAAAAAATGTCCTTAAAAAGTTACCATAAGTTTTATCTCTGCTGTTTGCTAACGGACTGCTGTTATTCCTCCTGCCTTTAGAGGTCGCAGTAACACTCTATTTCGCAGGATAAAACGCGGAAAGAATCATCATGGCAAAACAACATACCACAACACACTCACATAACACACTCACATGACACACATATAGTTCCTGAAGTGAAGCTTGTATTGGTCTTTAACGTATTTCATTGTTGTTCTGTCAGGTTCCTTTAAATTACGTCGTGTTAGTGTTACCTGTTTCCGGTCATGATCGCTTGTGATTTTGTAAAGCTCTCTTGTTAAACAAAATCCAAAGTTACTTGTTGTTTTTGACTTTATACCGTGCAAAATGAAAAGCTCTGTTTCCGTGTTTATCGTCCTTTTCGCTGCAAACTGTTTTTTGCTGGAAGGCTCGAGCCACTTGCACAGCAGGAAAATCCCTAAATTAGCCACGGTAAGATTGGGGAATATTCTTATCAGGATCACACTGCGTTTTCTTTCATTTGTCATTGCTTAATTTTTATTATTTTTGAACAGGTGTGGGGGTTTTCTTGGCAAAACTGCGGTGACCAAGATCCTGCACAATTGAAGACACTCCATATATCTCCAGATCCCATTCCCATTCCAGGACAGTTAACAGCAGAAGCATCAGGCACAACGTCAGTAGAGCTGGTATCTCCTCTCTCGGTAAGCAAGATCAATGCAAACATGCAATTCTGGGTCTCAAGATAAAAATCAAAATTGATTAGTCTTTCTATAATCAGATTATTAGGACATATGATTGTAGAAAGACTAATCAATGTTGATATTCATCTTGAAACCCAGATTTGCATGTTTGCAGTGAATATCTCTAAAAGCAAGACTTTCTGTATAGGACTTCCTCTTCTTGGTTAAAAAAGCTAACAACATGATTCCATGCGGTACAAAAAAATACGTTTTTTTGGTGGAAAGAGGAACTCCACATTTAGTATGCATTGTTTTGTGATTGACATTATTATATATTTTTAAAATAACATTTATTAAAGATAATGTCCCTATGACACTTTACACTGCCTATTATTTCCTGCATTGTTATAATATACAACAGCTTGACCCAAATTAGTAGTTATAGACTTTAAGGTTGAAAAAACACCCACCCACCCACTCACCTTTTTTTTTACTACATGCATAGCATATCGCAACAAATCCGGAATAAATACATTTAATAAAATCACTTTGTAATATTATTTACAACATATTTAAGTAAATATGAATTGCATGTTTTGTTTAAAGGGCTATTTAAATGATCATAAACTAATTTGTTAGTAAGCTAGTAGTGTGCATTGGGGTCAAAAAACTATGAATATCTTCCCTGCATTTTTTTATAACTACAGATGACGAATTTACATGAAGGTTAACAATTGACATCTTAGCTTCATTTTCATAATTCCTGATTTGTTATGCTCCAAATACTACAAAGTCGTTAAAAAATATTTATATATTTACCTTGCACCATAAACTTCTGAAATCAGTTCAGAGTTTTCTGCCAATTCTTGTGACCTAGTTTATGCCTTAATGACTGCTAGTGAAATACATTTTTATGCCTGGAACCTCTGTTGGGTGTCTTGTGACTATCACAAGTGGCTGTAAACCTCCATGATAGTTTGTGTCTTCACAAGGCATTGTTTTAAAGGGCTAGTTCACCCAAAAATTAAAATTCTGTCATTAATTACTCACCTTCATGTCATCCCAAACCCATAAGACATTTGTTCATCTTCACAACACAAATTTCTTCACAAAACTTTCTGTTCCTCCATTGACAGCCTATGCAACTACCAGTTTCAGAAAGGTAGTGAGGTTTAACCCAGATTTTATGAAGGAACGCGAGTGCTTTGTTTGCGCAAAATAAAAAAAAAACATAATTTACCACTTTATTTACAAAATATTTATCTCCGACACGTTCACGTGAGCAACTTGATGTGATGCGAGAGTAAACATTGTTGCGTGAACCCACACAGAGATTAATATTTAGTAAATAAAGTAGTAACTTTTTTTTTTGCCCTAACAAAGCATTCGCATGACTTCATAAAATTGAAGTTAACCAATGGAGTCACATGGATTACTTTTATGATGTCTTTACGGCCTTTCTGGGGCTTTAAAGTGGTAGTTGTGTCTACAGACTGTCAATTGAGGGTAAGAAAACATTCAGATTTCATAAAAACAAAATCTTAATTTGTTTGACAGAATTTTCTTTTTTTAAGTGAACTATCCCATTAATAACATGTTTACTCTGTTATCTGTTTCAGCTGAACGTGACGTTGGACAGAGAAGTAGCTGGTGTGTGGGTGAAAATACCATGTCTGGATGAAATAGGAAGTTGTCATTATCCTGATATCTGTGACCTGCTCAATCAGCTCATCCCCCCAGGACAGGACTGTCCCGAGCCTCTGCATACATATGGCCTGCCCTGCCACTGCCCGTTCAAAGCTGTGAGCGTCTCCTGATTCACAAGATTTTATTAAACATGCAAGAACGCAAAAGTTCATGCATTTTTTGAGGCATAACATTGTTCATATCTTATTTTTCCAGGGTGATTATTCTTTTCCTACATCAAATATCTACATACCAGACGTTGAACTGCCTGGCTGGCTGACTAATGGCAATTACAAAGTACAGGGTGTTTTAGGAAGCTCTGGGAAGGAACTGGGATGCCTCAAAATCAGCTTCTCGTTGCATTCCTCGATGTAACACTATCAAGCAGAGATTATTTACTGTCCTATGACACTGGTTAGGGGTAAGAAGAGAAAACATGTCATGATTAAAGGTGGAATGTGATTCATCTACTTTTACCTAAATTTCACTTTCATAACTTTTTAGAATGTGAGCATTTGTTTTCAACTAATTAGAAGTCTCATTCAGTTGTTTTTGCAAAATTCACTTTTATATGGTGTGTTTGCACACACAACCAACATACAATGAAAAAAAATCCATTATCTCCTTTTTTTTCTCTCTCTCTCTTTTTTTAATCCTCAAAAAATCTTAACACTTGGTAGAAACTGTAAATGTCCCTATAAGATTGCTTCACAAACCACTGGACAAAGTTTGAAATCTGAGACTCAAAACTGCACTGGATAAACTGCACTGGTTTTATTTTATTATTTTTATTAACATGAATGTTTTAACAACTGATTGTTTTCATGATTTATGCTCTTGTTCTTTTAGTACAAATGAAGTTCAGTGTTAAATCATAGCTGAATCAGATTTTTGTTTAATAAATAGGGATTTTTTTTAATAAACATTCAAACAAGTTTTTAGTAGTTGTTTTACATTTTCTCAAGTCTGAAATGCTTTACATTTTGATTTAACTTTAAAAAAAAAATACTTTAAATGTTGTTTTTTTTGTTTTCTGCAAATTATCATTTTCATAAACAGCCTAGCAACGCTATGTTTTCAGCTGAACATGTTTGATAAAGAGTCAGTTTGTTAGAGTGAATGGTGTAAATGTTTTTATTATTATTATTACTGTCATGGCTGCAGTTGTCATCTTTGTGGAGGTTTCTTAAAGGGTTGTCATGGTGTGAATCAGCCTGTAGATGTCGCTGTATAATTGTTTTTTATATATATATATAAATGCAAAAAGTTTCACGAAAACATTTTTCAGTAACGTAATAACAATCGCATGACACACTTAATAATCTGTCAGTGAAAACCACGTGAAGTGTTTCAGAGTGTCTTATCTCTAACTTGTAAGTTAGTAAATAGGCGCATACCTCTTAGATATTTAACCAAACGGTGAGACAAAAGTTCAAAATGAAGAGCTGCATTTCCGTGTTTATCGCGTTATTCGTTTTCAACTGTTTTGTGCTGGATGTCTCGAGCAGGAAACGCTTTACATTTAAGAAGGTAAGAACCTGAGATTGGAATCAGACCGTTTTGATATTAGCCTACTTTATTGGTCTTTGTATTATAATGTGCTGCTTTGTGTTACTTACTGATGATCAGTTTAAGAAATTTTCCTGGGACAACTGTGGAAAGCCAGATGCACCCATAACTGTGAAGACGCTACATGTGTATCCAAACCCAATTCCTTCACCAGGATATATATTAGCACCTGCATTGGTCACTACATCAATAGATCTCCTCTCTCCTTTGCCTGTAAGTTGTAATATTGTCTTAAGAATATGTTCTTATTGCCTACTGTGATCAATCATGTACCAATTACTGTTGTTTTATATAAAAAATAGTATTGATACTATTTTTTCCTCCTTTTTTCAATTTATACAATAGATTTCATATTTTATACAGCCTAATTGTCAATATTTATTTATTTTTTTTTTTTTAAATATAACGGTAGGCTACCATAAACCTCTGAATTGATTAAGTAGCCTACCCCATCCCCATTAGCTAGCTTTAACCAACTCTTGGTGTCACAATTGTCTGAAACTTTTGTACTTTACGACTATTACAAGAGACCGGTAAACCTGTATGACCACATTTCAGCAGCTGAACACCGTGCCTTGTATCTTCATAAGATAATTTGGATGACGTCATTTTATTTGTTTCAGGTGAACTTGACACTGGAAAGAGAAGTTGATGGTGCGTGGGTAAAAATACCTTGTGTTGATGACCTAGGAAGTTGTTATTACCCTGATGCCTGTAACCAGTTGGTCCAGCTCTTTATGACAATGACAGGACTCTGTCCTCCTGGCGTTCATATAAGTCCCTGCATCTGCCCGCTCAAAGCTGTGAGTATGACTGTTTGACTTAACATCTAGTTTCACATGCAGCAAACTTTTATGCATTGTTAAAGTTAACATGTCACTCTGTTTTAGGGTGACTACGTTTGGCCATCGACTGGTACCTACATCCCAGATTTTTCACTCTCCGACAGACTGACTCATTTCAGATTCCAGATAATTTTAGGAAACTCTGAAAAAGAACTGGGATGCCTTAAAGTCAATTTCTCAGTGATATCAATACTACACTACCAACACAATGAAATGTAGTAATTGCTGTCCTACAGCTGTCTTCTCTGGTCCTGTTTTTTTTTGGGAAAGTGACAAAAGAGACAAATGTTAACAGAACAGAATGCCATAAACAGAGAGCCTGCTGGAAGTCATTTGGCTCTTAAAGGGATAGTTCACCCAAAAATGAAAATTAGACCATGATTTACCATCATTATTAGTCATCCTAGGTGTACATGACATTCTTCTTTCAGACAAATACAATTGGAGTTTTATAAAAAAATAAATAATAATAAATGTCCTGGCCCTTCCCAGTTTTATAATGGCAGTGAATGGCTATTTCTGTTTTGAAACAGCCGCTTCTGGTAATCGCCTCTGGTTCCTGTATGATTCTGTTTCCTGAACAATTTGTCAGAGTAACAGAGAAAAAAGACTGAGAATCATACACTACCAGACTTTCAAGTTGGTTCCGGATGCAAAAAACTCAAGAAAAAAATGTACCTCATTGCTAGGAAATGCATGACAGGTATCAAGATATCATCTGGCTGCTAAAAATCCAGTCTGTCCTGTGACCATCAGGACTTTGACTTAAAATTCTGTCATTATTTACTCGCCATCAAGTTGTTCCAAACTTGTATGAATTTATTTTGTCTGCTGTCTGAAATATATATATATATATATATATATATATATATATATAATTTAAAAAAATTATTGTGTTAATTTGTCATTTCCTAACATTAAGGCGCATTTTTCTGATTGAGTGTGTTGCGTTCAGAACAACTTGAATGTCTGGTAGTGTGTGATCATCAGTTGTTCAGTGCAAAGTGGCCAGTTTTTTCTCTGTAACCATTTACAAAGTCGGCAAGTAGTTCCTAGTGTTTCAAAATCTGTTTCATTAGTTGGTGTTTTTTTTTTTTTTTGGAAACTAGTATTGACTAATCGGGGCAAAAGGTGTGTTTAGGAATGGCAATGAAAAAACAGTCAACATTTCATAATGCTGATGTACATGTCTCACCAGTATATGTTCATACGGCCAAAAATCACCCAGGTTTGTTCTCCTCCTGTACACATTGTTTGCATTCCTGATTTTCCAGCCTGTCTTTCGAGCCCTCAATCCAGATGTCCAGGTGGAATACCAACCAAAGCAGATTTCCACTGTGAGCAAGACTAGCCATGTTCTTCATTTTTAATGATCACTTAACTCGGATGTACCATCACTTGTAAACAAAAAAACAAATCCGGACATGTGAATTGTTAAAATTACCTCAAATTTATCTATGAAATTTAGCTCTATCGGAAGTATGTGATCATAGTGTGTTGTTTTAAGGTTTTTAATTAAACCTAACTGAGAGCTCTCTCATGAACTCTCAGTAGGACTTCTGAGTTTTATTTCGCTCTCTGAAAACACTTTTCCGAGGCCTTGAGGCTTACACCATGCCTGGGGTCGGAGGGGGAGCAATGGAAAGAATGTTATCTCCTGGCTGACTGAGAGGCTGCGTCTGTTTTTTGTTTTTTTTAAGAGCTTTGTGGCACAAAGCACGTTCATAAAGCTCTGTGGCATATACTCCTGGGTGGCACACTACATGTGTTTACCATGCAGAAAACATTCAGACTCAAAAATACAAAAATATATGTATTTATCAAACATGGTTTCAAAACGAGTCGGATTTTATACCAAGGAATCAGGATGAGAGGTGTGTCGTGATGAATGTTTAAGGAAATTGGCTTTAGTTATTGTTCTCCCTTAAAACCCTGACCTCATATGTTTGATAAACCTGTTAACTTTGGCAAATCCTATGTTAAATCCAAACATACTGTTTTACTGTGTTTCTGTTCCTGTAGATAACTACCAGACGACTCGCTTTATTACTTAGTGTATCACCACTAAGCTGCCGAGACCCTGCAGCTGTCTGTCAATGGAAAGTTTGTCACTTCTCAGCAACAACTGCTCTATCGTTTTTATGACAGATTTGAGACCTTGCTATAAATAGACAGAGTTTTGACAAAAAGGAAAGTCTCAAATTACCCAGATCATCCAAAGTCGACGTATCGCTTTAGAGCTTAATATATACCAAACAAGAGGCCAAAAATAGATGCATCTCTGACACTATCCTGTATACGCCATATATAGAGCAGTGAATGTGATCAGCTCAGCCGGTTTATGTTTTGTCCACTGAACATTTAACAATATTTTATGTTGTGAAAGGCGGTGGTGGATTGGTAGAAATGTTTAAATAGCCATTTGTCTCTTTTTCTAAATTTAAACTTCAAGTTTAACTCATTTGTCATTAAATTGACATTGGTGATGAAATCTCAACTGGCAGCCAGTATAAACCTTGTTATGTTTACATTCAGCATGTGCATCCACATACCTCACCACTGACTATGGATCACTGCTGTTTTGACAGTCTCTCTAAACAATTCCTCTAAAGCAGCAGGGTGACAATATGGCCACTTAAAATACAGTGCAACTTAAAATTCTCTCTGTTGACCCATCCCATCACTGTTTTTACTCTCCTCAATTAAACTTGCTTCGTAATATGGCTGTTTTACTGTCAGAACTCATTTTAATTTGGAGATTAATTTTTCCACTGTGAAAAAAGTTGCTGGCTTATTTTAATCAACTTGGATTTAACTTAAATCACATTAAACTGAATTAAAAAATAGTTGAATCTTATTTAACTTATTAATGCTAGAGGTCAGAGGAGATAGGCTACAACAGCAGAAGACCCCACCGGGTACCACTTATCTCCAGTACAAATAGGAAAAAGAGGCTACAATTTGCATGAGCTCACCAAAATTGGACTGTTGGAGACTGGAAAAATGTTCCCTGGTCTGACGAGTCTCGATTTCTGTTGAGACGTTCAGATCAATTTGGCGTAAACAGAATGAGAACATGGATCCATCATGCCTTGCTACCACTGTGCAGGCTGCTGGTGGTGGTGGGTGGTGTAATGCTGTGGGGGATGTTTTCTTGGCACTTAGGCCCCTTAGTGCCAATTTGGGCATCGATTAAATGTCAGGGCCTATACCCAAGCATTGTTTCTGACCATGTCCATCCCTTTATGGCCACCATCCTCTGATTGCTATACTTCCAGCAGGATAAGGCACAATTTCACAAAGCTCGAATCATTTCAAATTGGTTTCTTGAACATGACAATGAGTTCACTGTAGGCCTACTAAAATGACCCTCACAGTCACCAGATCTCAACCTAATAGAGCATCTTTGGGATGTGGTGGAACGGGAGCTTCGTGCCCTGGATGTGCATCCCACAAATCTCCATCAACTGCAAGATGCTATCCTATCAATATGGGCCAACATTTCTAAAGAATGCTTTCAGCACCTTGTTGAACCTCGCGCCATCAGAGAAGAGATGTTGCTGCAATAGATGAATTTTAAAAATAATTAATAATGATAAATCATTTATAATAAATACTGTCATATTCAATAATTATAAACAAATTATTTCATGGTGACTTTAAGGAATCTTCTTTTTCTCTCTCTCTCTCTCTCTCTCTCTCTCTCTCTCTCTCTCTCTCTCTCTCTCTCTCTCTCTCTCTCTCTCTCTCTCTCTTTTTTTTTTTCAAAGCCATTTGCACTTTGGGTAGATTCGAGGAAGCTGCGGTGACATCAGTTTACGTGCTCGGATTCACCAATTTCCCGCTTGTCTCGGCGTAAAGTTGTAAATGTAGCCTGCGTTTTTGTAACGCAGCCCTGACCCTGCAGTTCCCGCCCCTCGGTCCCAGCCTCAGCCTATTCGAGCGGATCAATGAGAGCTGAGCTCATATTTGAACTGCTGCACACAGACAAAAACTTACTATCGAAAACGGGGTTGAAAATAGAGACGAGGCAGTGGAGTATGGGTTGTCACTACAGCAAAAATTGTGGCCAGGTGCCCCGGAAAAGGGTAAGTTAGTACGTTTTAGTATTTAAAAAAAGCCAGTTTACAACGAGACCCGCAGCAACGTTAGAGATGTTGCAAATACACCACGTGTAAATGTATTTGTTTTATGGGAGCCAGTCTTGTTTTGTTCTCTCAAATCACTTGTTACTTCCTCTCTAATGCGTTAGTCGATGCGAAACCTCTCACGTTAGTTTGTCGACTTGTGAAGTTTTTAATGAGACACAGATGACGAGTTCAGCACTGAAATGTGCTGCTGACATCCGTTATGACCAATTTAAGGTGTGCTATCGTACATTTGAGTGTTATCTCTTTGCTCCGCTTTAAATTCTTCCGCATTTCGGTCAATACCAATTCAGGATGTACGAATTTCTATTTTAAACATTTACCATTAACTTTTCAGCAAATATTATTGATTTAATAGTGTTAATAAATGTACTTGTGTACACAGCTTAGTCAGTGTTTTCGAAACGTTGTTTAAGAAATATGTTTTTAAAATACTTCTTGTTTTATTCCAAACTATCATTTTAAGAATTTGAATGGGGCATTTTGAAAACATGTCTATCATAAAGGCAAAAAGCATCAATTGCGTTTTTTATGTTTCATTTCATAACTTGCCTCATTCACGCTTTAAAAATGAGAGAAAAATCCGTGCATTCTTGAGGCCTTTAAACATTCAGGGGAAATCTGGCTTTGATAGTGACAGGGTCAAGCTTTCATTAGCCCAGATTGCTGAAGGATTTTGATTCACTGGTCTCGAATGCAACAGACACAGGGTCCCAAATTTCTCACTGCAAGTTTTAATGTGACCTATAAACAGACAGAGTTCCTTTGGTCCTGTTAATCACATAGCCATGTGTCTGTATATTTGACATAGACAACTGGAGAAGTGTGAAAAGTCTCTGAAGACTTAACAACAGAAATCTTTACACTCACTATTAAAGACTGTATTGGAGTTGCATCAAAAGCACATAACCACATGACGGTGAAGTGTAATAAAGCCAAGGGTTCATTAAAGTTCCAGAACATTTGGTTCCCTGCCCACAGAGAGCCAGCAAATACATAACAGCGTTGTTGTGTGGATTACTGAATTATGAGATGAAAGCTGTTTCTTTTCTTGCTTTTATTTTTGAATTCTCATTTAACCATCTCACATGGCAGAGAGAATCTCTCAGTAGAGATTAACCAGGATGGTTTGACTCTAATTTGTTGTTCTTGTCGACTGAGGGTGTTGGCTTAGACGAATAGTATGTTATGTTTGTATTATATGCAGAACAAAAAGGTGAAGTTTAGCAGCTCTTTTCAATATGACAAAAGGTGACCAGGGGTCATCAAGCCCCCAAAATCATGATAAAAATAGTTACAAGTCATACTGAAGTTATGCGACTTGCTTTGTACGAGTTAAGAGATTCACTGATAGTCTTCGGTGCAGCTCTCAAATCTTATTTGTTTTGTTTTTGTGTAAAAAGCTCCAGAGACAGTGTTAAGAAGCACTTCTTTAATCTGAAGTCAGGAGATTTTGCTCTTGGTGGAGAGACATTTTGCACTTTTGAGTGTTTTGAGGCTGTGTGAGGCTTTATCTCTGCAGACATTTGGCACGTAAGCTCCAAACCATTAAATCACCTGTGAACGTCAAACATTCACACTGGGATGTAGAGCTGCACCTTTCTGGAATTTTTTTTTTTTTTTTTTTTTTTAATTGAGAACATGATTCTGAAAAGATAATCAAACAAAAAAACAAACAATTTAATTAGTTTGAGTGAATGATACAATGACTCGCTCATAAAAAGACTTAATGAATCTCTTGAAATAATGATTTGATGACATCCATTTTTAACAGTTGTTTGTCGTCACCTACTGGCATAATGATGCAATTGATTTATTATCGCAAAATGCAATTTGAATTCTTGGAACACAGAAATAATAAAACTGTGTGTTTGCAAGGACTTTGTGAAGCTGTTTTATAGTTACAGTATACACGAAAGCGGCAGCGCTGACGCAGATCTGCATGTTCGCTCATGTACTTGTCAAAGGATTAATTCCTTTAAAATTAGTCAAAGGATATCAGTGATTTGCTATCTTTTTATGATTAATTGTGAATATTGAAAATTGAAAATATGGCACAATGATTCTTTACTCCCTATGGATATACGTATGAAAGCATTCTTTTTTTTGAATTTCAGTGCTTGTGAAATGTGTGGAGAGCATGCTAATAGTCAAGTCAAGTCATCTTCATTTATATAGTGCTTTTTAATAATGCAGATTTGTTAAAAATATGTGTTCCAAAGCAGCTTTACAGTGATAATAAACCAAACAATAAGTGTGGTAAAGTTTTCAGCTAAATGAAAGCTATCCTTTTGAGAAGTTATATTGTGTGGTCTTCTACCTTAGCTTCATATCCACTTTGGATTTACACCAGGACCATTTAAACAAGTCTTGGGTCCGTAAGAGATATAAATAAATGATTCACCAAGCCAAGTGACCGTAAAACCATTTTATAATAACACAGCTTTCTATTTCGAATAAATGCTGTTTATCATTAAGCATCACAACTGTTTTCGACATTTATGATAATAAGAAATGTTTCTTGAAGACTGAGCAGCTTATGATCTCTGATGAATCAAGGACTGAACTAATCATGCTGAAAATTCAGCTTTGCATCACAGGAATACATATTTAAAATTATATTAAAATTATAATAATGTTACTGGTTTTACTGTACTTTTATGTTTAAATTGTATATTTATTTGAAATTTTATTTATACATTTTAAATATTTTCAAATAACCTGTGAGACTTCTTTGGAAAAAAACAAAAAAACATTCTTACCCACCCCAAACTTTTGAACGGTTGTAAATATGTGGGATTTTAATTTTTTGTTAATCTGTTTTTGTTCTTCTTAACGGTTATATAGAATAGGCAGCGGTCTTGTCTTGTATAAATTTGTTAAAATGTTTTTCATTTAGAAATGAAAAGTACGATTTCAGTCGTCCCACCTATTGAGAAATACAAGTCAAGTTTTCAAAGTGAGCTGTACTACTGCAAGTGATTTGTCGATGATGTCATGCTTGTGCAATCTTGAGTGCATATCTCACCAGTAATGTAAGACTGCTTTGGAATGCAACAAATATCAATTTATAAGACGCTTGTGAAAGCGTTGCACATGTAGATCCAACTTGTCAGCTAGTTTTTGAATCATTAATCCTGTGTCTGCTGCCGTTAGCTTCAATGCAATAAATCAAACTTGTTTTTTTTTTCTCTCTCTCTCTCTTCATTTAGAAAAAAAATAAAGCTCAAGAAGGTGAGAATCACATAAAGGACATCAAACTTCAAGATGCAAGTGGTAAGTGCTTTCTCCCATTCGTGTCATGTGAACATGTGCATGATGCACATGCTATGGTTATTATCTATTAATGTGTGCTTTTCATGCGAATGATTCAGAGCCCTTTGAATGTCCCATGATCCCTTTGTGAAGTGTGTTGTTTTAGGCAGAGCCAGGCTTTGGAAGTGCTGATGTTAGGTTGCAGGGACCTGTTAATATTCTTGTGTTGCTGGCCGTGGGCGATCTTGGCTTGCGCTCATGGATATATTGTTTCAGATGTACCGTTGAGCAAACAATCTAGTGTTCAATTGTTCTCCCCTAGTTACACACTCTTCTGAGGAGCAACGCTCCGGTTTGGAGAATCAGTTGGAGACTTATGAGTGGCAGCTAAAGATACTACATGCAGTTTTGACTGCTTCAGGAGACCAGGAGAGAGAGCAGCTCCTCAAGGACCGTCCTGGAGACATTTGCACTTTAGTCCACAGCATTACAGAGAAGGTAGGGTGTAAATAAAAGCTCTTCATATTGAAAGCCTTTTCTTTTTGTCTTGTGAATGGAACTCTCGTAGCAAGTTCATGCAGCTTCATCTAGCCAGTCGAGAAAGACGACTACTCTGATCCCAGATTATGTCAGCAGCTTATACATTATGAATCTGTCAACAGTAATAAACAAGACGTGCTTTTCCATTACAACATGATTGGGACCATGGCTGTTTCTGCGCAGTTGTTCTGATTGTCTGTACAGGGCTTGGGAATGTGTGCTGCGGTACATCTGTCCTTGTGCTAACCTCTGACCAACAAAGCTAAACCTGTTTGCAGGGAGGGATGTTATTCAGTGCCTTGTAAAGAGGACTGGCTTGTGTGTTTAAACACTGTAGAACATTGCTTATTTTAACCGAGGAAAACAAAAGATTATTTATTTTATTTTTTTACCTTTCACCAAGAATGTATTTGGTCTAAAACCCTGTAGACTTGTTATTTACACACGCATATTTACTTAGCTATTTAAATGGGGACATTACATAGATTTGTATTGTTTTTAATAAACAGCTTTTTAAAAATACTATAAATCAAACCCATACCCTAACAGAAAACTATCTGCATTTTTTACAATTTAAAACAGTAGCCCTATTGTGCTATTTTTGGGTTTCTAATTTTGTGTTGGAGGTCTCCTACAATAGGGTTACATGCATCTAAGGTCAAAAAACATTGTCTCAATTTTCTCCTCTTGTTATTGCATCAAAAGAATTATGATTACGTAACGATGATGTTGGTTTACTGTTAATTCGAGCTGGAGTCCTCATCCATGCAAACTGCATTTGCTTTCACAGCGTAGAAAACAGCGTCTTCTTGATATGTCGACAAAATGAACCAAACTCTTCCAGACCTCAGCTACAACTACAGTGTTTGCGGGTCAAAGTAGATGTCGTTTATGGACAGTGAAGACCATAGGCTGGTATAATGGTGATTTCTTACAAACCTACATAGGTTTGTGCAGGAAGTGAGACTGAAATTACTGACGACTCGCTTTAGGCAGTTCAGAATCAGTTCTTTGTTTTGGGAGACAATAAGTGTATTGAGACTCCATTTTTCTGCATTTTGATCGTTGAAACTTTACTAAACTTTTACATTCACAAACCGCTATTTAAACACTACATAAAAGGCATCCGAATAAGGTTTTGTCCGATTTAGCTTACTTTCTTTAGAAGTTTACATAGCTAACCTAATAAAATGTTTTATAAATGTGATTGTAACGTGCAGACTATACAATAATAGTTCACGTTTTTTTTTTTGTTTTTTTACTATACAACATGTGAAATAATTCTAAATGTATAGTTCTGCTAATTGTCTGTTATCTAAAAAAAAAAAAAATAAATAAATAAATAAAAATAAAAAAGGTACATCCTGGGATGCTTTTCAAAACCGAAAGAGGTCACATGCATGCTTGTTCGCTTCGTTTCCTTCACTATCCATTTAATTTTGGAAAAAAATTTTATTGGGGCATTTTTAATTTTTTTTTTTTTTTTTTTTTTTTGACTGGGGCAGGTTTTATTTATTTTTTTATTATGTATTTATTTATTTAGCAAAGTAATAACATTTTCATGAGAAATCGTTCAAGTTTGTTCAAATGTTTGACTGTGTTGTGTGTGTGATTTTAGTCAATTAATTCTTTATTTATTTTTTACAAATTTGGTAAAGTGTATTAAGTAAGGTATAATGTACATCCAGACGATTGTTATCGCAGAAAAAACCCAGACAGGGTGATATTGTTATTGCGTATAATTGTTTTCTTCTTCTGATTGTTTTAATTTCTGCTACTCTGAATTTGCCATGAAAAAAGCCTTTGCTGCTTAAATGGCATTAAATAGTAAATAAATAAATGCATGATGTCTTGTGTTAACAGGTAAAGACTGAGATAACCGCTGATCTAAATGATCTCCATGAAAAACAGATGAGCAGCACCCTAGAACGGCATCAGAGCACAACTGAAGGTTGGCTGCACATGGAATGCTAACAACACATGTCATGTACTGACACAAAATTTAATGCATATATGTGAAGTACCAAGTCACTTTGTCAAACACATTATAGCAATATTCATTAATTTGCTTTGCAGAGCTACAGAGATTACACGATGAAGAGAAGAAGGTTTTAAATGAGTCGCATGCAGCAGCTGAGAATGCTTTGAAGGTGAAGCATGTCTATTTGTAACATCACTTCTCTGATTTGCCTTAATTCATTTGACTGAGAACTGATGTAATAGACTCCCCATGTCATGCCAGACTTGACTTTGAAATGATTGGTCTGAACTTTCTTTGAACTCAGGATCAGATTGAAGGGCTGACATCAGAGCTGAAGCTGTTCAACGAGTTAAAGCGCAGAGCGGAGGAGTCCACACTCAAGAGAGACCTTCAGAGAAATATTGAGGTTTGTTATGAGAATGGAGATCTATTGTCAAAGCATGCTTCAGATAGCTCTAGTATTTAGCTGCATCTGTCTTTTCATCCCAGACTCATGGCAGCCCTGGTGAATTCTGGGAGCAGGAGCAGGAGAGCCTGTTATTTGTCATTGAAATGAAGCTTGAGCGGTTACAGGACCAGGGGAACAAGCTGCTGCAGATGGAAACACTGGTAACTTTTACTGATATCTAATTAGAGGGGAAGGCTGTAACCATCATGTATACAGAGACCAATTTAGACCAGATTAATATGCAGGTTCTTTCATTTTTTTCATTTTATTCCCCATCTAAAACAATTGGTTACATCCATCTTGTTAAAGCTTTATACTCTCTCTTGGTAATGTACAAAAATGAGAGCAGGTGTACATAATTTGTGTATTCATGTTGTCTATTTGAATATGGCAAATTGACCTATTTGTTTGCAAATAGAAATGCAGAAGATTCCAACTGAGTTTCTAGTTTCACTAACTTTCCGCTGCTTGTTTTGTACTGATTGTCAGGTAGAGAAGAATCTCTCATTAGAGGATCAGCTCCTGCATGTTCTCCAGCAGAATGAGGACTACAGGGTCCGGATAGAAAACTACCAGAGCCTCATACAGTAGGTTTACATCTCTTTGCCTTCTATTATAATAGGCCGAGTATTTTAAGTGCCACTGTTATGCTTTTTCAGATATTACATTTCCTGTGGTGTCTGTGATTGTAAAGGTCTTCAAAGTTTCAATGATTTAAATGTGCAGATAAAGGGAGTTATTGTCTCCCAAAAGAACGAATCGATCCCGAACTGCCTGAAGAGCAGACTGAGCTCATGAAATGGCGTATGTATGACACGCCAATTCGTATTTCCATTTTTGGTGTGCTATCAACACGCATAATCGCCTTTCAGAGTGTTTATCAATGCCGTTGACTTAATGTTGCATTACTGTATATATAAATATATGACCTACCCGTCACTGGGGTTAATAACATCTAACATCTATGATATCTTCCCTATGATATCTTTTTCTCCTTGGAAAAAAAATATCGCTCCCCAGATGTAGATCTACATTTTGCTTCGTTTCGCTCGGACATTCAACGGTGTGTACATACACGCGGAATCACTCGGACATTTAACGGTGTAGACGTATACGCAAAAGATGACAGTCCGTCTTGCCGTGGACATACACGCGGATAGCTCAAAATGCGTATAGATAACACGCCACTTGATTTGAAAGTGGCGTGTATGTTATAGTGGCGTGTATGTATATTACGCAAAGTCATGATGCCATGTCGTGAAGCGAGTCGTCAGTTATTCCACTCTCACTTCTGTAATATATCTATGTAGGTTTTTAATAAATTTGCATAATGCGCCCGCGAATAGCATCTGCTTTGACCCTCAAACAGTATTGTAGCTGAGGCCTAAAAGAGTTTGGGACATGTTCTCGACATGTCGAGAAGATGATGATGATTATCACAACAGATTGGACCGTCTGACCAATCCGAGTGGAGTAGGCTCGCAGAAAGGAGGGGTTTAGAGAAACCGAGTCATTTGAGAGACTGAGAAGAGAGGTGAAAATTAAAGTGTTTTTTCACCTTGGGCGGGTGTAAACCTATTGTAGTAGACCTCCAAAACTAAACGATAACCTTTAAAATGGCATTATGATGCACCTTAAAATATTGAAAGAAAAATTTGTGCTTTTTTTTCCATGTGGAAAAAGTTTGACAAGTTATACTGTAAATATGTAATTATTTTAAGTTTATCCTCTTAAAAACACTCTGCTTCTGTTGTGTTATCAAAGCAGCATTCTGCTTCTTGCGCAGTCCAACAATGTTTGGGGCAGGACTATTTGTTTTTCCAGCCAATGACAAGAATTTTAGCAATTCTGTTCGCTTATTAAGTTATACAAAAATTGAATGCATCATCTCAGCAATTTTTTTAAGGACTTAAGAAGACTATGTAGAAGGAATGGACACGCCATATAATTTTATATATATATATATATATATATATATATATATATATATATATATATATATATATTATTTATTTTTTTGTGTTACTTTTTTGTGTTACTTTCCTTAAATAATTTTATTCTTGCACTGGATTGAGCATTTGGTAGCTCAATTATTTGTATGTGGCGCCACCTGGCGTTTTAGATGTTTTTATGCACATTTCTCTTGATATTTTCATGATTTGCCAATTATGAGTTAGAAATTTATTTTTAATTGTGTGTGTTTGTAGGTGTGGTTCATGTACACTTTTTTTGCTCCCCATAAGGACCAATCTTATTTGGTTTATTATTATTTTTTTTTTATTATTATCTTTTAATACATTTCTATAGTTTGTACAGTATAAAAATCATTTGTGTCGATGGAAATTCAGCACGTGTGTACGGAGGTGTATTGCATTCACTTGAAGAAAAAAAATCTACTCTGTTTTTCTGAATTAACGAGTTAATTTTTCATGAGAAAAAAAAATTTGCTCTGTTTTTCTGAATTAATGAGTTAATTTTTCATGAGAAAAAATTTTTTTGCTCTGTTTTTCTTAATTAACGAGTTAATTTTTCATGAGAAAACATTTTTGCTCTGTTTTTCTGAATGAATGAGTTAATTTTTCATGAGAAAAAAAGTTTTTGCTCTGTTTTTCTGAATTAATGAGTTAATTTTTCATGAGAAAAAAAATTTGCTCTGTTTTTCTGAATTAATGAGTTAGTTTTTCTTGAGAAAAAAAAGTTTTTGCTCTGTTTTTCTGAATTAATGAGTTAATTTTTCATGAGAAAATTTATTTTTGCTGTTTTTTTGAATTAACTCATTAATTCAGAAAAACAGAGCAAAAAAAAAAAATTCCATTAAAAATTAACTCATTAATTCAGAAAAACAGAGCAAAAAAAAATTCCATTAAAAATTAACTCATTAATTCAGAAAAACAGAGCAAAATTTTTTTTCTGATGAAAAATTAACTCGTTAATTCAGAAAAACAGAGCAAAAAAAATTTTTCTCATGAAAAATTAACTCGTTAATTCAGAAAAGCAGAGCAATTTTTTTTCTCATGAAAAATTAACTCATTAATTCAGAAAAACAGAGCAAAAAAATTTTTCTCATGAAAAATTAACTCGTTAATTCAGAAAAACAGAGTAGATTTTTTTTCTTCAAGTGAATGCAATACGCCTCCGTACGTGTGTGATGTATAGACACCAAAAACCTTATGGTCCTCTTTCAGACGACTGTCCAAGGAGCAGAATGAGCTGCAGGAGGCGCTAGAGAAACGGTCTCTACAGAACCAGAAGCTCAGCCAGGAGAAAGAAGAGCTGCTCTTTAAGCTCCTGCACCGCAGAGACTCGTGCTCATCCTTCCACCTTCCTTCAGTCATACCCACTGAGGTGTCTCCCAGCTGACTGCAACATTAACCCTCATCACTGTATCCTCACCCTGCCTGGCCGAGGTGCCTTAGCAGCGCTTTTTTTTTTTTTTTTTTAAATGCCAGTTTATTATGGAGTGCTGTGAATATGCAGTGCTGAAATGAACTTGCACTGCATTTATCATTTTAACTGGCAAAACAAATATTTTTGTACATTTTATTTTGAAGATATGCTTATCAGGATTTTTATTTTTTGGTTGCATTTATTTGAAATTGCTGTGGATATACAGTAGTTATTCAAGTCTTTTTTTGTTGTTATTGTACACAGTCAGTGTATTAGTATTTTTTTTTTTAATTATTATTTCTTTCCAGGAAACAGCAGTCAAGCAGGTATTGTGAGCAAAAAAAAAATATCTTCTTGCCTTAAGACGTTATTGGAGTCCTAGCACTTGTACATGTAGCATGAATATTTGGTATCTTTTCAGATGCACTTGCACTTTTATCTCAGTATTTTTATTCTTTTGAGAGATAATGGGCTTTTGGTGTTTACCCGTATGCTTTATCCTACACTTTGCCTCAGTATCTTCGGTTCTTGTGTCCTATTGGGTAAAATCCAGTCGTTTTAGCTCGAGCAAACACAATGTTTGCTCATCCAACCAGAATAGCTGTTTTCTATTTTGCTACTTTGTCAAAGCCAACTTTAAAAGAATAATCTGAAACACTCTGAACAGAAACATTTGACTGAGCTTTTTGTAATTATTTCATACTTTAAAAGCATTTTACGCACTGATGGCATTCTTTTTGCAGTGATTGATTTGCCATTTTAAAAGCAAAAGTGGTAAATTGGTTGCCTTTGTGCCTATATCTCTCACCCCCCCCCCCCCTCCCTTTTTCTTTAAACTATTGTGATTCATGCAGCATGTTCTATCATATATACTGTATGTTTACTTCCAAATCAGTGCCTTTGGTGTTTCCTGTAAAAAATCAAGCAATAAAAGCAGCATCAAAGGAATAGTATTTGAAGTTTTTCAAGAAAAAAAAAATAATTTATTTATTTTATTATATATATATATATATTTTTTAATGATTGTCATATTTGGTCACCTTATATTCTCCACATTAATACAATTTATGAACCTCAAATCATAGTTTGATAGGGCTAAGACGTTAAAACACAGACTTTGTCCCTAGGGGGCGCAATGACTCAAGATAAAAACAGGCGTAAGTATTTTGTTGTTGTTCAGACAAGTTTTCAAGTTGTCTGGGTGTTTTCACCATGGCCTGTCGAAATATTTTGGAAGGATAGTTAAATATTGGTAAATGCATGACATTCCTCAGTTGGTAATTCTCTGAAATTACTGGATTTCTGTTTTGTCATGAGTTTGCGAGTGCCTCATTCATACATTATGATATTATAATAGTCTGGTAGATGTAGGCCTACAGATGAGCCTTTTTACTCCACATAGGTTAAATAATATAAGATTTCCTTTAGCTTTCTGGCCCACAACTGACTTTTCCTCTTATGGATAAGGTCACTCACCTCACAACTTTCACTGTTGCATGTAATGAGACACTGATTGGTGGGTGTTTCTAGTGACCAATAAAGAGCATAAAGCCAGGCTGATTGACAGATTGAGACATTTACCCTGCGGTGCCCCCCATTACACTACACCAGCACTTAACATGGAGAAGAGCCTGGCTCTTTTTGCTGGTTGTGCGGATGTTAGGTTCACTGGTTCCCTGACTATTTGACATGTTTGGACAATACTTGCCTAGCCAGTAAGATAAGCACAGGTCACCCCCTGTAGTGATGTCAGGAGGTTCCCAGAGCATTTAACAGCCACCTGGAAGAATCTCAGGGGTTTTCATTCCAGCTCAAGTGAACATGGCAACATCTGACTTTATAGTGTAAATAAAACAACGTCTTAATTCAATTATTATACAAGGAAAAAATCAACAATATTAAGCATTTTCTTATGTTTGCAACAAACATTATTGGTAGGACTTAGTTGGCGAATGTGCATTTGCTCAATAGAACATCAGGTCATGACTCTTAATAGCCTAATTTAAAATAGCCTATAAGATATCTGACAAAAAATAACACACATTTTTTGATCACGAAAAATCAAACATGGTGCACCCTGGCGAAATCTGCTATTTGAAAGTATTTAGTCAAATACAATAATTACAGCCTTAAAATTTGCCTTCTAATAGGATATTATAGGATATTATAAAAATAACCCTTCTGTTTTTGTTTATAATTAGCTATTTGCATGTGGGTTAACAACAACAATATTTACATTGTATCTTTTTAAAGAACTGTTGCCGAATTTTCCTTAGGCCAAGCTATGTCTATAACCAGAGTCATTATGCTTTTTGTAATGTGTAGCCTAGCATTAGTGAACTCTCATAGAGCCTTAATGCTTAGTTCTAGATTGTAATGTCTCGAAACGTCTATTTGATGTGCGGGGAAGAGGTATTTTGAAGAGAGTTTGCTCATCTGCAACGCATCTGTTCCCTGTCATGTGTCAACGTGTATGATTTAAGAAAAGAAAAAAAAACTTTTTAAAGACGGTTGTCAATTCAATTTCCAGACAAAGTGCTCTTTAAAATAAAGTTTGGAGACGTTGGGTATATATGTTTCAACTTTTTAAAAATCCTATAAAATCTAAATTAGATTTTATAGGATTTTTTAAAAGTTGAAACATATATATCATTTGTATATTATCTAATCATTTGTAATCTTAGAGAATGGTTTCATTTTGGTTGTTTGCATAATATTGCCTAAATTAATATTTTTTATGTTCATACTTTTATTTAAAAATTGTCGGCCTGCTTTATTTAAACAGTAAGAAAACTGTATTTTTGAAAGAGAAAATCTATAATTCAATCCTTTGCTCCACTGAGTTGGCGGGAAGGCGCGCGAGTTTGCTCACCTGAGTTTACGCGCTGTCCCTTTATGACATCATCACCAGCCACACGAATGTAATTCAATACCGGCCTTTCATTTCATTATCTGTTAATTGCCCATCCTAAGCGTCCCCATATTAGCAGTGCTCAAAAATAATAATGTGTCGCTATTAACTTACATTGCTCCCATGTCGTCTGCGAAATGCGCGCACTTTCGAGTGGTTTATTTATTACAATTTCCGTTTATTAGGCTACCGCAAAGATAACCTTTAAATTGTCAAGGGTTGGAGGCAGTTTTCTCAAATAAGATGATTGCTATTTGGGGCTGCTGAGTTGTTCCTTATCACTTTGACTTAGAACAAAAAAAAGGTGAAAATTGCACCCCGGAGAAAACAGCTTTGATTAAAAGGTGTGGGGCTGGTTATCACCCCACTTTTTACACACCATAATCAGCTTGATTTCCTTAACTCCTGTTTCAGTACAGCAGCATGATATTTTAAATACGATATAGGTATAGACTGATCGGATTTGGACCAGTGGATCATTTCACAAACAAAAGGCTATACGATCTAATTCAGAGGCTTCATGCGTCTTGCTATAACGCTTTCACGTTAAGTCAAATAAAATTAATTCACAATAAATTGTGTTTTGATCGATGTCAATCCACTTTACACAACGTTTAGCTACTTGTGTTTTACATGAACGGGACATATTTGTTTGTCTAGATTTATTTTTCCACAAATAGCCTACACAATCTACACAAACACACATTTTCAATAATTATCATGTTTTCAATTTCCATCCATCCTTCTTCCGCTTATCTGGGGCCAGGTCGCGGAGAAGCCTCTCGCTGCATCCTGCGGTGGACATCCAACCCGGCCCCATCCAAGTGTGACGTCAGAAGCTACCACGCCCATGCCCAAATTGGACACATTCTCGTTAACATTTAAAAACAGGAAGAACTATCTAGAAGATAAGACTAGAAGACGAAGGTAACTGCGAAACAAAATGCACAAAAGTTTGCGGTTTTAGTATAAACACTGTTTAACATAATACGAATGAGATGTATGAGAATGAGATGTTACCTGTTGTAAGCTGCTCTTATCACTTTATTAGTAGTTTGTAGGCTAATGTGTGCGGGCGGCTGATCACTTGACTAGCGTGCCTGCTCCGCTATTAGCGCGAAAGCCCGCGATATGTAATAAATTGTCAAAATATCGACGTAATTCGAATCAATAAGGTTTGATGTTGTTTTAGAACTATGAATTATCTTCAACTTGCATATTGGTCATTTTACTCCCCTGTGATGTCTCTTGGTGTATTTAGTATCAGTATACTCTCAACTGAAACTTTTGTTATGTCTACTATACTATGTCTACTATACTATTATTATTATTATTACACCAATTTCATGTTTTTATTTGGATTAAGGGTAAATATAAAAATATATTATTTTAGTGTTTATGTGTGACGTTACATCCTGTAAATCTTATTCTACTTGAAAAAGAATATGAGATATATTTGTACATTTATATTTACTTTTTTCATAGGCAATCATAAATGCCCTGGCTGTCTCCTGGGGCCTGTTTCAGAAAGGAGGTTAAGTGAAAACTCTGAGTATGTTAACCCTGAAATGAGGGAAACTCTGGGTTTTCCGTTTCAGAAAGGGGAGTATATCAAACCCGAGAAAGCAGAGTAAGTCAAGCCCGTTTCTGAAAGAGAGGTAACTTATACTCAGAGTCAGTTACCATGGTAACTTACTCTGTGAACCTAACCTGGTCGGGACCAGGTTTTCTTCAGTAAACCCAGAGTTTCTTGCGGTCTCCTCCCCTTTTTTAAAGAGGAAGTGCTGTTTAAACACCAACAATAATACTAAAATGTATTTACACATTCTTTAAGGAATATATATATATATATATATTGTTTGTCCATGGTTTAATTGACTAAATCTGTTTTGCAGCACTTTGCCAAAAAATAAAAGGATTAAAACATTTGCTAAACTTTTATTTGATTACCACTGTTTTGGATAATATATTTCTATTAAATCATTGAAAAAATTGTAATAAAATTTAATTATTCATGTTATTCAAGTTATTCATGATAAAAAATAAGATGTCAATCATAATCAATTATTGAAGTTAGTTGATATTATGTTTTATTGAACAAATGCTTAATTTATTTAACTGTCATTTTAACTGATGAAAATAATAACCGTAATTTAATAATGCAGTTCATATATTTAACAATTGTTTAATACCATAAACCGCGATATTTTCTGAGACGGTTCTCATACTGTGAAACTCTCATACGTTACAACCCCACATGGGGGAGTCCCCACCCCACCCCCGCTGTTAAACAAGTTACTCAGCAACTTTTACTCATGTTTTAAATTAACTACTTTTTACTTGAGTAGATTTTTTAGACTGGTATTTTTACTTTTACTTAAGTAAAAATGTATCAAAGTAATAGTAGACTACTTTAGGTTGAATAACATTCTTCCAGTTTCACCTCTGATATTATAACAGTTACTCTAAAATAGTTATGAATTATTAACAACAAATGACATCTTCAACGGTGTAGTTAGATTAATGTAATAATTACTATCTCTAGAAAGTATTGGTCTACATATTACTAAATCCTATATCAACCTCAACCACTTGATTAATACAAGGAGGAGAGACAAGAAACTGCACTTTTAATGCTTTCAAATTAACAATATACAATTGCATGAATTATTCTTGAATATAATTATATAAAAATATACCTTTTAAGAATGTATGCTAAATCCACTATTGGTTTTTACTGAATTGGTCTATAGTTTATGCAGTAGCCTATTTAATGTAATTGCATCATATTTTATTTTAAATTAAAGAAGAATTAAGAGTAATCCCTTTAATTAAATTACAATATTTAGATTACTTGGTAATTAATTATACCCAACACCTCTTTTTGTCTGGCGCTGTTGCCATGGTGACTCGTAATATCTGCGCTCCATTGATAATGGCTTTTTATAGCTGTGGTGCACGCGCTTAACTCAGAGTCAGTCAACTCAGAGTTGATTGAACTAACTCATTTCAGCTGTTCTGTAACCGAAAACTCGGAGTTTCCCATCTCAGGGTAAGTCAACTCTGAGTTCAAGCTTTAACTCAGAGTTGGTTGAACCTCCTTATTGAAACGGGCCCCTGGCTGGGATATCTCCTCACAGGAGGCTGAGCAGGTCTTCCTTTCTGGTCTGGATTATCATTGCAGGTCAGAGTAGATTATTCATTATTTTTGCACAATGCCCAGTGCACCCTTTTGTTACTGATAATTCTGTTACAGTAACACAACAGTGACTGTTCTCTGATAACTATTTCTGTGAAGTGGAAGATTTTAACTGACAAATTGACAAACAATTGAGGAAAGAAAGGAGACCATTCAATTGTTGGCTGTTAATTTTACATTTACACATTTGGAGTTTGGAATTACGTCAGTAACATGAATATTCAATTTGACTTTCTCTCTCTACAACTCCAACATTTCATAACTGTTTAGTGTTAAATCCGAAATATATATTTCATTTGAACATGTTAAACTCATTTGTATCTCTCTCTCTCTCTCTTTCTCTCTCTCTCAGAGTTGAAGCCATTCCTGCAGCAACTGGTGGAAAACGGGGGATCTTTTTGGTGCTTTTGTTCTAGCATAAATAATTTTGTTCTTTCGTATAATATAAATAAATACATATGTATATATAAATAAATTCATGCTTGAATCATTCTCGAGTTTTGCCTTCTGATATTCTGGCCATATCATTTAGTGACTGCATGTGCTGATTCCATCGTTATTTTATCTGATAATGAGCAAATTAGTTAAACTTAAGTAGGTTAATCAATATACAGCATAATTCAAGAAACTAGGACTCACATCACTTTTCAGTTGCATAAGATTGATATACATTTTTAATTTGTTTTGTATAAATTTACATTTTTGTAAATGTCTGATGCATTTTGAATAAAAAAACAAATTTTATAAAAATACTCCTGAGATTAAATGTCTTTCGAACTATGTACGTACAAACTAAAACAAGGGTCCTGTAACCGGGCCCCTAAAGCTGCAGCCTCCGATTGTGTAGGGATTTGCTCTGAACAACTGACATTGGTTATTTTAACAAAAAGTTATCACATTTGCATAAATGGGTCATTTTTTAACCATATGTGTAAACTTGATGTATTAACACAAAATATTACATAAAAAAAAATCATTTGTGACCAAGATATTTGAACTATGATGATATTTTGATATGTTAAACTCATAAAACCTGTACAGAAGAGGAAGCGAGAGATTAACTGTTTTTTTATGTATTAGAATATTGTGCAAAAGTTCATTTATTTCGGTAATTCAACATAGCTATATGCCGTAATCATCAAATTTATAACACATAAAGGCATGAAATATCTCACTTTGCTTATAATGACTAATGAGTATATTATATATTAGTATATGATTAGGTTTACATAAATTCCATTCTGCCATTTCAAAGTAATTTGCTATAACAGGCATTAACAGGTGAATTCTTAATTTGTAAAAATGCAATATTTCTATAACCACATAGAAAGAAATGTTTAAAAAAGTTTTTTTTTTTTTATTTTTTAGAAGGGATAACTATAAGTGTAGTTTGGATCCCAAATGATTAAGAAAGAGATAAAAACTCATTTTAGTTTAAGTATAGATGCTCCCTTATATGTTTATTATAGCAAAACCATGATTATTGATTACCATTTGTAACAGAAATACAAGAGAAATACAAAAATATCGTTTTAAGGTACATTGTTTACTTGTCATTAACTTACAAAACCAGTGAGCAATGCAAACGTATTGTCTAATACAGCTGTTAAGGGAGTGCTTGTGATTTAGACGATTCCAAGCCTGCCAAAGCGTCACAATTTAACTGCACCAATAATCTGTAGTGCCACATCTCTACACAAATAACCTCATCTTTATTATAAATCAATAACTACTATGATAACAACCATAAACATATTCCGACAGGAAGCAGCGGCATTTTGCGCATGTGTACACGAATCGCTTTAAATTGAGTCACGTGCCGTCTTTGGACATGGGCGAGGCCATAGACATAATATATACATAGACGCCCTATTGGCCACAATAAGCAAACTTAAATATCTCAGTATGGGGATCTTCGCCATTCTTATCCAAGAATGTTTTTATCCAGAAAAACGCAGCTCACCCGTTTACTTGCATTTAATTACAATGCAGTCTTGACCTCCGCAAAATGGCGGACCCGTTGACGTATCGCAGCAACGTTCCAAAGCGGCCAAGGGCGTCTATGTATATATTATGTCTATGGGCGAGGCTTCCGACGTCACACATGGATGGGCGTGGCGTCTGACGTCACACGTGGATGGGCGTGGCTTCTGACGTCACACTTGGATGTGGGCCTGGTTGGATATCCACCGCAGGATGCAGCGAGCTGTAGTTGGGGTCGCGGGGGCAGCAGTCTAGAGATGCCCAGACTTCCCTCTCCCGAGCCTAGACACTTCCTCCAGTTCTTCTGGGGGGACACCGAGGCGTTCGGGCCAGCCAGGACTCCAGGAGACATAGTCCCCCGTGTCCTCGGTCTTCGCCAGTGGGACGTGCTCGGCACACCTTCCCAGGAAGGCGTTCAGGAGGTATCCGGAACAGATGCCCGAGCCACCTGACCCCTCTCGATGTGGAGGAGCAGCGGCTCTACCCTGAGCTTCTCACCCTATCGCTAGGGATCGCCCGGCCACCCTGTGGAGAAAGCTCATTTCGGCCGCCTATATCAGAGATCTTGTCCTTTCGGTCAAGACCCAAAGCTCATGACCATAGGTGAGAGTAGGAAGTTAGGAACGTAGATTCATTGACCGGTAAATCGAGAGCTTTTCCTTGCGGCTCAGCTCCTTCTTCATCACAACAGACCTGTACATCGACTTACGCAGAAGCTGCACCGATCCGTCTGTCAATCTCCCGTTCCATCCTTCGCTCACTCGTGAACAAAATCCCAATACACTTAAACTCCAAGATACTTTCAATTTCTGAAAATAGGCTAATTGATGGTTTTTTTCTTCATTTTGATGTTTAGTAGACCCTTATCGCCTTGTGCTTGATAAGAAACGAAAAAGTGTCTCAGAAATAGGCCTAAATAAATTAAGAAATATATAAAATAAAGAAAAAAAGTTAGCATAGGGCCTATCACTATGGCATGTTCTTAATAACTTATTTTAAATCAGTTTTTCTGTTGATGGGGTTTTTTTAACAAGCAGTTTTGGTTAAAAATATTGTTCTTGTCTCATATTATAGACTCATTGTTTAAAAAATAGCTACACATGAAAAAAAAATAGCGTGCACATTTAGGCTATCCAACACTATCTCACGAACACTATCTCACGACCAATTCGTACGAATTCGACGCATGATTAAAAAGTGGCTAATTCGTACTAATTCGTATGACCTCACTCGTACTAATTCGTACGATTAGTCTAAACCCACGTGATGGTTAGGTTTAGGGGCGGGGTAAGGGGTAGGTCATTCGTACGAATTCATACGAATTGGCCAATTCGTAAAATATGTACGATTCAGCAAAATCGTATTAATTCGTACGAGTGAGGTCGTATGAATTGTTACGAATTAGCCACTTTTTAATCATTCGTCGAATTCGTACAACTTGGTCGTGAGATCGGATTGGAGACTTGCATTCACGTTTAAAGTGCAAGTAAAGCATCGTACGTCTTTAACCGCTTAATATCTTTAGAGTCAATTATTCAGTAAACGTTTTTTATTACAAAAAAAACTTTATATGGGTTATATTTATCCTTGAACGTTTGTTTTAAACTATTGCAACATTTTATTTTAGTTAGACTATTTATTTATTTAGGCTATGTATTTATTTTGTATCCTTATTTTTCGTTGATCTTCGGACCATTATCCTATAATGTTCATAATTCCTTATAAGACTAAAAAATCATGCATAAACCTCCCTAAAAAGACAGTTGTTAACTTACATCAAAGAAATTACGTTAGCCTCCCTTGTAATCCTGGTTTCACAGACGAGGCTCAAATGGATAGGCTAGTTCACCCAAAAATGAAAATTTTGGAAAACAATTAGCTATGGAAGTCAATGAGCTCCATCAACTGTATAACATTCTTCAAAATAGGCTACCTTCTTTTCAGCAGAAGAAAGAAACTTATATTTTTCAACAACTTGAGGGTGAGTAAATGGTGACAGATTTTTTATTTTTATTTTTGGGGTGAACTATCCCTTTAAGCTAGTCCTAGACTAAAATGCATGTTTGAACTATTTTTACTAAAAGTAGCCTATAACTTGCACTGACTGACATCTTAAAATATGTCAGCGCCATTGTTTTGTCACAAGATGCACACCGCAGTAATGTTTTCTTCCAAGTCACGTTTATAAAAGTTACTTAAATATGCTAATTGAATGAGGCCAAATCCTTGCTTAATCTAAGCCCTGTCCGTGAAATCAGGCCATAGACTTTTCGAAATGGAAGTTTTGTGCGTCTCGTGCTCATGAGTGTAATGCCGTCAGTCACCACTAGAGCGCTCTGTGCTGCAGTCATGTGACCTTCCCAGCGCTGGCTCCATTCCCATGGTTCAGATCAGATAAGATACAACATGTTTGCACTGTCTACTCGTCTAATTTGTCGGGATGATAGCGCCATGTGTCTGGTTGGTTAATAAATCAACAGATTTGACGGGTAGAGGTGAAATGATACCCCCTTTTAGATAAAAAAACAGTAAATTGATCGCCATTATTCATCCAAATTATTTAAATGTGGAGGACTCATTATGAGGTAGCCTATTAAAGTAGGCTACTTAGTCTACCTCATAACAAATTATTAACCTATTGCCAGTAAGATGTATAATCTCTGAGCAAATTCATTATTGCCACTCACTGGTTTCAAATATCCCAAATTTCAACGATAGACTGACAGCTTAGATGAGGTAGTGAATGAGTTGTTTCTGTCTCTTTGAAATATGTGCTCAAGGTCTTCAGAAACTCCTTCTGTCTTCAGTTGCCCAAAGATATATGGTGAGTTATGGCATTTTTTGAATAGCTCTCATACAGGTGAAAACATGCAGAAGAGATTCAGTTTAGTTAATGGTACACCAACCCTGAAGCAAACTGTCCTAAGGAACAAAACATAAATTATAATTTAAAAGCTGACTACTGTAGGCTACTCCGCCTATGCTGCTAGACAAAGTTGGACGTGAAACTGACACCCCACAAACTACACACAAACTAAACAGCTATCATATTAGTGCTAAAGGCTGCCCATGGGTTCAAGGACACTGGTGTGCTCTTAAAAGGTGACTCCCTAATGAGTCTGTTCTTGGTCGATACAGGCCGACTAATTACTTAGACCAGGAAGTCTGTGTGCTTTATGAAACTGCCACCAGGGATCTTCCTCGTGAGGTTTTTTTTTTTTTTTCTTTTTTCTTCACAATAGACCAGTGTTTGAGGTCGCAGAGCATTGTGGTATAGTGATCACTGATTGTTCCCTCTTGTGTTTAACGACACACATGGACTCAAACTATTTGTATTAACAATATTTTCCAGGATTAATAGCTTGTTGTCATCTTATAGCTCTGCAACTGTGGGCACCATACAAACCACATCGGATTTGATATTGCTGTCGGTATTAGGCAAGGATTGCACCTGCGGCGACTGAGAGCGGGAAGTAACGTGAGTGACTGACATGTGCCTTACATCAGTG